CCCCAAAACCCCAAAACCCCTTGTGATAAAATCAAGTTGAATGCAGAAGATCAGTAAATTAAACGTATGAATTAAATTAAATTAATAAGCATTTAATTAAATGATCAAATCTATTTTAAAAAATAGACATCGGGTCGACTATCAATTAGTAGAACTTATTTGAAGGATTATTAATATTTAATATAAAATTGGTTGGAAAAATTTGAACAATCATCAAAATGAAATAGTAATTTCCAATAGTTGGGTTTCGATTTACTACACTATCTATAAAACTTCAAGTGGTCTTATTTCTTTGCTTACATAATAATTTGATCATGAAAGTTGCCCCAGAGTAAATTGATTTATCTTTGGACTAAAACAAAGCATTCATTTCTAAGGAATTTAATAATCAAAAAATTCAATAGTTTCAGATGATAGAACATGAAATCTAAATCTAGTTAAACTCAAGTTCTCAAAAAAGTTTTTGGAAAGATTAAGTTCCGATTCTTTCTGTGGATTTAAATATTATATATCCCTAATAAGACATTCAATCTAATCAGTCAGCATTTATCATACTTTCTTCTAAAAGGTACATTTTTTTCTCACTAAAAATATCATTATAGTATTCAACAAATTCATTATATAAGCAGTTTATAATACCAAGATGCTAAATAGCAAATTAAAGAATTGATGAAGTAAAATTATATATTAGCTCACAGCTTCGATTACATTCTCAACGAATAGTCAACTTAACAATAAATCAAATATAACATTGAGACCAATTAGCTACAAAAATTGTACTTAGTAATATATAGTATAAGTGGAAAAATAAGGATCTAATTTATCAAATACTCAAATATTAAATACAGAATACAATCTCAAAATTAAGATTACAAAAAATTCTGAAAAAGATTAAGCAAACTGTCTTGATGGCTGCAAAGGGGAATGTGAAAAGAATTTATTGAATAAATAATTTTAATGTTAGTGCTAAAATAAAACTTACTTCGGAAATTTGTGCAATCAATGTAACTTATTTAATTTAATTATTTTAGAATCTTAGATTGTTAATGTAATAGGAGAAAATTTAATTTGGCAAATTGATCTGAAATCTTCAAGTATCTAAATGATTTTCGATGATTACCCAAAATATTCTGCTCTTAAAATAACTGTGAATGCAACTATACCACTCAAAAACATATATATCCTCTATCAATAAAAGTATATTTTCGTAATCATTATGCTTTTATAGCGAATAAAAACTATTTGCCTTGCCCAGCTATTTGAATTATGATAATATATGCTCATTTACTTTGAGCGAACCTTTCAGCTGTAGCTTTATGATAAATTTTGATCTTATAACCATCGATAAATTGATATTGAGGATTTAAAAGCAAAATGAATATAATTTTGATGACTAAAAGCTTATCTTATAACTTGAAAAGTATTCCTAATCAAATTCAACTTCTAACATCAGATTGATATATACACTTTCAATACTACTACCAATCGTTTTTGTTATATTCTTATTTCTAATCCTTGCATTGATCTTTAGAAAATGGAGAAGAAAAATAATAAACAAAAAATACCCTATAGATAAATCTAAGCCAATTATTCATCAGCCACATTTATCAAAACAAGGATTAAAAAGATAAGTAGTTCTCAATGAATTAAATTCAAAAAATAAAGATTCTTAATTTGAATCAGATCCTAAGGACTTGGAAAGTTAATTTCAATCTAAAAGTTTCTTCACTAATTTTGACTAAAATTTAACAATCAATAACTTTATAAATGAATGCGAAGCAGATTTTAAGGGGGGAAAAAATTGCAAAAATAACTAACCAATCGAATTAAAGCATAAACAGAACTTCAGTGAAATACTAAGCCTATAAAGCAGTCTAGCTCATCTTAACTCAAAAGATTTGGAATCATTATAATATAAGCAAATTATTAGAAAGTTTAAAAAAACTAGATACACTGATATAAAAGCATTGCTTATCAAACTTGATTAACCTAAGTCAGCAATAAACAACTAGTAATCATATTCGTAAAATTAACTACTATTTTAGATGCTTGCTATGTGAGAAGGAGATTAAAAACAGAGATTTCTGCAGAATGCTCACCTGTTTTCATTACTTTCATTATTACTGCATTGACAATCATTTTTCTCATAAAACTTAAGTATGATCAACTTTAATAAACTCTATTAATTAGGAATGTCCAAAATGCCTGAAAACTTTTAAATAACCTGAGGATTACTTATTTAATAAAGATCTTTTGCAAAGATCTATTAATGTTGATATTGAAGGCTTTCACTCTGATCACTTAAAAATCTATGAACCAATGGTAAATAGCCAATCGATAAGAGAAATGGCTGTTGGTCTTCCAATTTTATAATAAAAGGATAGGCGAAATAGTTTTGATGATTTTTAACAGAATGAAATATTTTAACTAAGCCCAATGTATTCATCAAATGATTTGTATTTGGATCCTGATGGTCCTCTTAGAATGTTTAAACCTGCATTAATGGGGAAGATAAATCTTGATTTCTAGAAATGCTCTTAAAATAGTGATAGTATTGTTTAATTTAAAGATGAGAATTCCTAGTATGAGGAACAACAAAAGTTTAACAGATTAATTGAGGGATTAAAATTCAAAAAATTGACTGAAAGTACTGAAAGTAGAGTTTTAGATGAATAACAGAGTGATTAATCATGATTAAGCCTAAGTTAAACTAGTTTTTACTACTGAGTTAAATTCAAATCATTGGATATATTATCTCATTATATTTCAATAATATTTTGATAAGTCTAAATTCTTCAATTTCAACATCTCGGGGTTTTGGGGTTTTGGGGTTTTGGGG